ATGCCCAGCTAATTTTTGTAATTTTAGTAGAGACGAGGTTTCACCATATTGGCCAGGCTGGCCTCGAACTTCTGATCTTGTGATCCACCCTCCTCAGCCTCCCAAAGTGCCGGGATTATAGGCACAAGTCACCACGCCTGGCCTGAGTTCATTTTTATATCTGGTGTGAGTTTGAGGGTCCATCTTCATCCTTTGCATATGGATATCCAGTGTCTTGGAGCCATTTTTTGAAAAAATTATTCTTTCCTAATTGAATAGTTGGGTGCTCTTGCCAAAAATCAATTGACAGTAAATGTGAGGACTTATTTCTGGACTCTCAATTCTGTTCTGTTGATTGATATGTCTGTCCTTATGCCAGTACCACACTGTCTTGAATACTATAGGTTTGTAGTTAGTTTTAGAATTGGGAAATGTATATTCTACAGCTTTCTCTTTTTAAAAAACTGTTTTGATCATTCTGAGTTTCTTAAATTTCCATATGAGTTTTGGGATTAGCTTGCCAATTTTTGCAAAGAAATCAGCTGAGATTTTTGTTAGGGATTGTATTGAATCTATAGTTCAATTTGAAGAGTTTTTCAATCTTAATATTAGGTGTTCTGCTCTATGAACATAAGAAATCTTTCCATTTATTAAAATCTTCAATTTCTTTTTTTCTTTCTTCTTCTTTTTTAAATTCCTGCACTGCAGTGTCGATCCTTCTTCTTCTTTTTTTTTTTTAATTATACTTTAGGTTCTGGGGTACATGTGCAGATCATGTAGGATTGTTGCATAGATGCATACATGGCAAGGTGGTTTGCTGCCTCCATCGCCCCCATCCCCTATATCTGGCATTTCTCCCCATGTTATCCCTTCCCAACCTCCCCACTCCCCACTGTCCCTACCTTAGCCTCCCCCAGCAGAGCCCAGTGTATGATGCACCCCTTGCTGTGTCCATGTGTTCTCATTGTTCAACACCCATCTGTGAGCGAGAACATGTGGTATTTGGTTTTCTGTTCTTGTGTCAGTTTGCTGAGAATGATGGTTTCCAGATCCATCCATCTTCCTACAAAGAACATGAACTCATCCTTTTTAATGGCTGCATAGTATTCCATGGTGTATATGTACCACATTTTCTTTGTCCAGTCTATCATTGATGGGTATTTGGGTTGGTTCCGGGTCTTTGCTATTGTAAACAGTGCCACAATGAACATACATGTGTATGTGTCTCTATAATAGAATTATTTATAATCCTTTGGGTATATACCCAGTAATGGGATTGCTGGGTCAAATGGAATTTCTATTTCTAGATCCTTGAGGAGTCACCACACTATCTTCCACAATGGTTGAACTAATTTATACTCCCACCAACAATGTAAAAGTGTTCCTTCTCCACATCCTCTCTAGCATCTGTTGTCTCCTAACTTTTATTTATTTATTTATTTGTTTAATTTACTTATTTTTTCAGAGACGAGGTTTCACCATGTTGGCCAGGTTGGTCTTGAACTCCTGACTTCAGGTGATCCTCCTGCCTCTGCCTCCCAAAGTGCTGGGATTACAGGCATGATCCACCGTGCCTGGCATGTCTCCTAACTTTTTAATTATTGCCATTCTAACCGGTGTGTGATGGTATCTCAATGTGGTTTTGATTTGAATTTCTCTGATGACCAGTGATGATGAGTTTTTTTTCATATTTGCTGGCCTTGTATGTGTCTTCTTTTGAAAAATGTCTGTTCATACCTTTCATCCACTTTTGAATGGGTTTGTTTGTTTTTTTCTTGTAAATCAGCTTTAGTTCTTTGTAGACTCTGGATATTAGGCCTTTGTCAGATGGGTAGATTGCAAAAATATTTTTCCATTCTGTTGGTTGCTGGTTCACTCTAGTGATTGTTTCTTTTGCTGTGCAGAAACTCTTAAGTTTAATTAGGTCTCATTTGTCTCTTTTGGCTTTTGTTGCCATTGCTTCTGGTGTTTCAGTCATGAAGTTCTTGCCTATGCCTATGTCCTGAATGGTATTGCCTAGGTTTTCTTCTAGGATTTTTATGGTGTTAGGTCTTATGTTTAAATCTTAAATCCATCTGAAGTTAATTTTAGTGTAAGGTGTAAGGAAGGGGTCCAGTTTCAGTTTTCTGCAGATGGGTAGCCAGTTTCCTCAACAGCATTTATTGAACAGGGAATCCTTTCCCCATTGTTTGTTTTTTGTCATGATTGTCGAAGATCAGATGGTTGTAGATGTGTGATGTTTCTTCCAAGGCCTCTGTTCTGTTCCACTGGTCTATATCTCTGTTTTGGCATCAGTACCATGCTGTTTTGATTACTGTAGCCTTGTGGTATAGTTTGAAGTCAGGTAGCATGATGCCTCCAGCTTTGCTCTTTTTGCTTAGGATTGCCTTGCCTATGCGGGCTCTCTTTTGGTTCCATATAAAGTTTAAAGTAGTTTTTTCTAGTTCTGTGAAGAAGGTCAATGGTAGCTTGATGGGGATAGCATTGAATCTATAAATTACTTTGGGCAGTATGGCCATTTTCACGATATTAATTCTTCCTAACCATGAGCATGGAATGTTTTTCCATCTGTTTATGTCCTCTTTTATTTCCTTGAGCAGTGGTTTGTAGTTCTTCTTGAAGAGGTCCTTCATATCCTTTGTTAGTTGTATTCCTAGGTATTTTATTCTCTTTGTAGCAATTGTGAATGGGAGTTCACTCATGATTTGGCTCTCTGTCTGTTATTGGTGTATAGGAATGCTTTTGATTTCTGCCCATTGATATTGTATACTGAGATTTTGCTCAAGTTGCTTATCAGCTTAAGGAGATTTTGGGCTGAGACAATGGGGTCTTCTAAATATATAATCATGGCATCTGCAAATAGAGAAAATTTGAATTCCTCTTTTCCTAATTTAATACCCTTTTTTTTTTCTTGCCTGACTGCCCTGGCTAGAACTTCCAACACTATATTGAATAGGATTGGTGAGAGAGGGCATCCTTATGTAGTGCCAGATTTCAAAGGGAATGCTTCCAGTTTTTGCCCATTCAATATGATATTGGCTGTGAGTTTGTCATAAATAGCTTTTATTATTTTGACATATGTTCCATCAATACCTAGTTTATTGAGAGTTTTTAGCATAATGGCTGTTGAATTTTGTCGAAGGCCTTTTCTGCATCTATTGAGATGATCATGTGGCTTTTGTCTTTGTTTCTGTTTATGTGGTGAATTACGTTTATAGACTTGCGTGTGTTGAACCAGCCTTAGATCCCCGGGATGAAGCCTACTTGATCATGATGAATAAGCTTTTTGATGAGCTTTTGTATTTGGTTTGCCAGTATTTTATTGAAGATTTTTGTATCAATGTTCATCATGGATATTGGCCTGAAGTTTTCTTTTTTGGTTGAGTATCTCCCAGGTTTTGGTATCAGGATGATGCTGGTATCATAAAATGAGTTATGGGGGATTCCCTCTTTTTGTATTGTTTGAAATAGTTTCAGAAGGAATGGTACCAGCTCCTCTTTGGATGTCTGGTAGAATTCGGCTGTGAACCTGTCTGGAACTGGACTTTTTTCCTTGGTATACTGTTAATTGCTGCCTCAACTTCAGATCTTGTTATTGGTCTATTCAGGGATTCAACTTCTTCCTGGTTTAGTCTCGGGAGGGTGTAAGTGTCCAGGAATTTATCCATTTCTTCCAGATTTGCTAGTTTATGTGCAGAGAATTTTTTGTACGAATCTCTGAAGGTGGTTTGTATTTATGTGGCTTTGGTGGTGATATCCCCTTTATCATTTTTTATTCCATCTATTTGATTCTTCTCTCTTTTCTTTTTTGTTAGTCTGGCTAGCTGACTATCTATTTTGTTGATTTTTTTCAGAAAAATAGCTCTTGGTTTTATTGATTTTTTGAACGGTATTTTGTGTCTCTATCTCCTTCAGTTCTGCTCTGATCTCAGTTATTTCTTGTCTTCTGCTAGCTTTTGAGTTTTTTTTAAATCTTGCTCCTCTAGTTCTTTCAATTTTGACCATAGGGTGTTGATTTTATATCTTTCCTCGCTTCTCGTGTGGACATTTATTGCTATACATTTCCCTGTAGACACTGCTTTAAATGTGTCCCAGAGATTCTGGTACATTGTGTCTTTGTTCTTATTGGTTTTGAAGAACATCTTTAGTTCTGCCTTCATTTCATTATTTATCCAGTTGACATTCAGGAGCAAGTTGTTCAGTTGCCACATAGTTGTGCGGTTTTGAGTGAGTTTCTTAATCCTGAGTTCTAATTTGATTGCACTGTGGTCTGATAGACTGTTCATTATGATTTCTGTTCTTTTGCATTTGCTGACGAGTGATTTACTTCCAATTATGTGGTCAATTTTAGAGTAAGTGTGATGCGGTGCTGAGAAGAATGTATATTCTGTGGATTTGGGGTGGAGAGTTCTGTAGATGTCTATTAGGTCTGCTTTGTTCAGATCTGCATTCAAGTCCTGGATATCCTTGTTGATTTTCTATTGCGTTGATCTGTCTAATATTGACAGTGGAGTGTTAAAGTCTCCCATTATTATTGTGTGGGAGTCTAAATCTTTCTGTAGGTTGTTAAGAACTTGCTTTATGTATCTGGGTGCTTCCATATTGGGTGTGTATATATTTAGGATAATTAGCTCTTCTTGTTGGATTGATCCTTTTACCATTATATAATGCTCTTCTTTGTCTCTTTTGATCTTTGTTAATTTGAAGACCATTTTATCAGAGACTAGGATTGCATCCTCCTTTTTTTTGCTCTTCATTTGCTTGATAAATCTTCTTCCATCCCTTTATTTTGAGTCTATGTGTGTCTTTGCACATGAGATGGGTCTCCTGAATACAGTACACCGATGGGTCTTGACTTTTTATCCAATTTTCCAGTCTGTGTCTTTTGATTGGGGCATTTAGGCCATTTACATTTAATGTTAATATTGTTATATGTGAATTCCATCTTGCTAATTTGTTACTGGCTGTTTTTTTTTGCTCGTTAGTTGACTCAGTTACTTCATTCAGTCGTTGGTCTTTACCATTTAGTACATTTTTGTAGTGGCTGGTCCTGGTTGTTCCTTTTCATGTTTAGTGCTTCCTTCAGAAGCTCTTGTAAGGCAGGTCTGGTGGTGACGAAGTCTCTCAGTAGTTGCTTGTCCATAAAGGATTTTATTTCTACTTCACTTATGAAGCTTAGTTTGGCTGGATGTGAGATTCTGGGTTGAAAGTTCTTTTCTGTAAGGATGTTGAATATTGGCCCCCACTCTCTTCTAGCTTGTAGGGTTTCTGCTGAGAGATCCACTGTGAGTCTGATGGCCTTCCCTTTGTGGGTGACCTGACCTTTCTCTCTGGCTGCCTTAGTATTTTTTCTTTCATTTCAACCCTGGTGAATCTGACGATTATGTGCCTTGGTGTTGCTTTTCTTGAGGAATATCTTTGTGGTGTTCTCTGTATTTCCTGGATTTGAATATTGGCCTGCCTTGCTAGGTTGGGGAAGTTCTCCTTGATAATATCCTGGTGAGTGCTTTCCAGCTTGGATTCTTTCTCCCTGTCACATTTAGCTACACCAATCAAATGTAGATTAGGTCTTTTCACATAATCCCATATTTCCTGGAGGCTTTGTTCATTTCTTTTTACTCTTTTTTCTCTCTAGTCTTGCCTTCTCTTTTTATTTCATTGAGTTGATCTTCAATCTCTCATATCCTTTCTTCTGCTTGATCAATTTGGCTATTGAAACTTGTGTGTGCTTTATGAAGTTCTTGTACTGTGTTTTTCAGCTCCATCAAGTTGTTTATGTTCTTCTCTAAGCTGGTTATTCTAGTTAGCATTTCATCTAACCTTTAAAACATGTTCCTTTAGCTCAGAGAAGTTTGTTATTACCCACCTTCTGAAGCCTGCTTCTGTCAATTCGTCAAACTCATTCTCCATCCTGTTTTGTTCCCTTGCTGGTGAGGAGTTGCGAGCCCTCTGAGGAGGAGAGGCATTCTGGTCTTTGATGATTTTATCCTTTTTTTCTGCTGGTTTCTTCCCATCTGAGTGGATTTATCTAGCTTTGATCTCCAGGAGCCACTTGAGGATGGAGTCTGTCCCTTGTCTGCCTATAGAGGCACCGCTGGGCTGCCATGGACCCAGTCCAGCTGCTGTGTAGGCTTCCTGTGTCTTTTATTTACATAGGGAGATTAGGCCTGCCTCTGTAATGGCAGATGCCCTTCCCCCACCAAGCTTGATCCTTCTGGGTTGAGCTTGAACTGATATACTGGCTCTGAAACCCTCAAGTGAAAAGGCTTCAGCCTGCTGGGCTTTGTGAGGGATGGACCTGCCTAACCTATCACCTGTCTCCCTTCTTTTAGTACCCCCCTCTTTCCCGGGGGGGTGGTAGCTCCAGCCAGCTAATGCATCTTCTCCCACCCAGCCAATGCATCTTCCTAGATCTGTGCTGACAATCCTTAGCACCAGCCGGGGCTGTTATTCAACTCTGCCCAGGTAACTCAGTCTCTTTTCAGCCTGGTGAAGATCTCCTGCTCTGTGGGTTGCAGAGGCTTTGGGTGAAGTGCAGTATACAGACCGGTGTGCTAGAGAGGCAGAGCCTCTGATCCTCTAGTCAGATGCACTTCCTGGATGGAGCAGTGCCCCACCCTGCCTCAGTTTACCCCCTTTGGGCTATACCCACTGTCCAACTAGTCCCATTGAAATGAACCTGGTACCTTGTTTGGAAATGCGGAGACTACTCACTGTCTGCATCTCTCTCACTGGGAGCTAAGCACCAGAGCTGTTTCTATTCAGCCATCTTGGTGGAATCCCCTAAAATTTTCCATTTCTTTCAATGATGTTTATAGGTTTCAGTGTACAAGCTTTGCACCTCTTTTGTTAAAGTAATTGCTGTGTATTTTTTCTTTTTGATGCTCTTGTAAACAGAATTTTCTTTATTTCATTTTCTGTTTTCTTAATGCTACTATAAAGAAATACAATTTATGTTTGTATATTGATCTTATATTCTGCAACCTTGTTGAACTTGTTTATTAGTTCAAATAGCTTTTTAATGGATTCATTAGAATTTTCTATATGTAAAATCACATAATCAACTAACAGGATACTTTTGTTTCTTCCTTTCCAAGCTGAATGCCTTTTATATCTTATTCTTGCCTAATTGCCTTGGCCAAAACCTCCTTCACAATGTTGAATGGAAGCTGGGAGAGCAGACGTCTTTGTCCTATTCATTTTGTCTTGATGCTTCATCTGAAAAAGAATCAATTCTTTTACCATTAAATATGCTGTTAACTGTGGGTTTTTGTAGATGCCCTATATTAGGTTGAAGAAATACTCATCTATTCCTACTTTGTTGAGTGTTTTTTCGTCATGAAAGGGTGTTAAATTTTGTCAAATGCTTTTTCTGCATCTATTGAAATGATCCTGTGGATTTTGACTCTCTCTCTCTCTCTCTCTCTCTCTCTCTCTCTGTGTGTGTGTGTGTGTGTGTGTGTGTGTGTGTGTGTGTTTATGGTTTAGGCTTTACTTGCATCAGGTAGGCCTAAGGCAGGGATCATGCTGCAGGAACAGGGCCTGTGAACCAGTCAATGCTGCTTTTTCATGCAGTGCTGGGACCTCAGGGCTGAGCTCCACAGGCAAGGGGCCAGTGAAGCCCCTCAAAGCAGACACAACCACTAACAGGAAGGAAGGACAGGCTGCCTTTAGTGCAGGGAAGGGTAATGTTGGAGGGGGACATTCATGAAGGAAAGTGGGTAACTGAGGCTTTAAAGGGTTTGGATGGGATAGGGGTTTAGGGGAAGACTTTATTCAATAAAGTCTTGGGGGTAAAGAAGGGAATAAACAGGAGAAAGGACCGAGAAGGCAGGTGCTGGGGTGCAGAGTCGAGCTGCTCTCCACAGCCTTGGCAATGGGCTGAATATGGGCAACTTACTCCCACCTCCTGGCCTACAAGGCACTACTTGTTGCCCCTGACAGCCATCTATGTGAACACAGGTCTTGGGAGGAAGTGGCTGGACTTCATATAGGTAGAGATCTTTTCCAAGCCCTCAAATCGGGAGATGAAGTCCTTCAGGTTTGGGAAGGCGTCCAAGGACTTCGGCTCAAATACTTGGCTTCCCTCAAGGACATCATAAGCAATGAAATCCACAAAGGTGATCTTGCCCCCAAGAAACCATGGCTGCTTCCCCAGAAACTGTGAGTAGAGCTTCAGCATTGCAGGGAGTACCTCCAGGTATTCTGGCTTCAGTTTCTCAAAATCTGGGTTGTAGCAGGTCTGGCCAGCTTTATGCAGTTGTATATAAGCTGGTTCTCCAAAATGTCTTCCCAAATCTCCTCCTCTTCTGTCTCCCCACACAGGTTGTGCCTGCAGGCAATGCAGTGCAGGATGGTGTTGCTCTGGATGATCTTGTGAGCCCCATCAATCAAGTAGGGCAGATTGGGAAAGTCTAGGCCCAGCCTGAATTTTTCATTCAGCCACTGGCTTCTGTCATAGTCAGGAGCATCCCCCATCCTGTACTTCTTTTCCTTGTAGCTTGAGTATGTATATTCCAGGAGCAGGTAGATGGCATGGGCCAGCCCGTGGATGTCCCAGTACCCCATTGTCATAGGCATGGTGCTGATTGGTGTGGATTCTGCAGACAGGTCCATTTACTCTGTTAATGTGGTGTGTTACACAATTGACTTTTGGATGTTAAGCCAATCTTGCATTCCTGAGATAAATTCCACTTGATTGTGCTGTATAATCCATTTTACATATTGCCAAATTCTACTTGCTTATATTTTTTTTGAGGATTTTGCATCTTATTTGTAAGAGATAGTAGTCTGTAGAGTTGTAAGAGATATTAGTCTATAGCTTTTTTTGTGGTGTATTTGGTTTAGGTATCAGGGTAATACCAGCCTCATAGAATAGGTTGGGATATGTTCCCTTCTCTTCTATATTTTGAAAGAGTTTGTAAATCATTATTTATTCTTAAAAATTGTGGTAAAATATACTAACATAAAAATTTCTATCTTAACCATTTTTAAATATACAATTTAATAGTGATAAGTATATTCACATTCTTGTGCAACCAGCTTCCAGAAGTTTTTTTTTTTTTTTTTTTTTTTTTGAGATGGATTCTCTCTGTTGTTGCCCAGGCTGGAGTACCATGGTGCAATCTCAGCTCACTGCAATGTCTGCCTCCCAGGTTCGAGCGATTTTCCTACCAACAGCCTACAGAATAGCTGGGATTACAGGTGCACACCACTACACCCAGATAATTTTGTATTTTTAGTTAGAGATGGGATTTTACCATGTTGGTCAGGCTGGTCTTGAAATACTGACCTCAGGTGATCCACCCATTTCAGCCTCCCAAAGTTCTGGGATTATAGGCATGAACCACTGTACCTGGGCACCTTATAATTTTTATTTCTGTGAGATCAATAGTAATGAACTCAATTCTGGATTTGGTAATTGAGTCTTTTTTTCTTGATCAGTCTTGCTAGGGTTTTGTCTATGTTGCTGGTATTTTTAAAGAATCAACTTTTGCTTTCATCGATTTTCTCTACTATTATCTATTTTATTAATATCTGCATTAATCCTTACTATTTCCTTCCTTCTGCTTGCTTTGGGCTTAGATTGTTCTTCGTTGTCTCTTTGTCTTTTTGGCTGTGTGCCTTCTTTAGTCTCATTTGAGTGAACTAGAGAGAGAGCAGAGATAAATGCATGTAAAATAGAAGACCTCTTGAGAATCCATTCACTAATGAAGTGTTCCTTTGAGTCAAAACATTGCTGCCTCTGGGTGACTTTTTTTTTTTTTTGAGACGGAGTTTCGCTCTTGTTACCCAGGCTGGAGTGCAATGGCGTGATCTCGGCTCACCGCAACCTCCGCCTCCTGGGTTCAGGCAGTTCTCCTGCCTCAGCCTCCTGAGTAGCTGGGATTACAGGCATGCGCCACCATGCCCAGCTAATGTTTTGTAGTTTTAGTAGAGACAGGGTTTCACCAGGTTGACCAGGATGGTCTCGATCTCTTGACCTCTTGATCCACCTGCCTCGGCCTCCCAAAGTGCTGGGACTTTTTAAAAAAATGACATGGAGGCCAGGCGTGGTGGCTCACACCTGTTATCCTAGCACTTTGGGAGGCCAGGGCAGGTAGATCACCTGAGATCAGGAGTTCAAGACCAGCCTGGCCAACATGGCTCACCTGAGGCCAGGAGTTCGAGACCAGCCTGGCCAACATGGCGAAACCCCGTCTCTGCTAAAAACGCAAAACATTAGCTGGGCACCTGTAATCCCAGCTACTCGGGAGGGTGAGGCAGGAGAATCACTTGAACCCAGGAGGCAGACGTTGCAGTGAGCTGAGATTAGACTATTGCACTCCAGCCTGGGCAACAAGAGTGAAATTCCATCTCAAAAAAAAAAAAAAAAAGACATGGGAAATTACCACCAGTGTTTGCCACATTAGCGTGAGTTAATTCCTCAGATACTTTTTAAAAGCCCAGCGTGATAGGTAAAAGCTGCCTAGTAGAAATAGAAGTTTTAAAAACAGGGGAAAGGGAAGAGTAACTTTCCTGTTTTCTGACTGCTGAATAGTCAGGAAAAGTTGCCAAACAGGAGACTGATGTTTAAAATTTGGGGACTTGCTGAAGTAGGGGATTGGGAGAGGGAAGGAAAACATAAGACGGGAGATGAGGAAGCTAAAAAAGGAAACGAATAGCTCTCACATATTACATCTTAATCAGCACAAAGTTAAGACATTTCCACCCACTGATTTAATTCCCTTCTGTGTTTTATACCATGCCATTTGTATTTTGTCAGCTATTTACTATTTTAATAGTGATGAATTTTCAGAATCTATGAGACACATAAATCTGCGCCTTTAAAATCTGAATTTTCAAAGATAGAAAAGCTAGAAAGTGAATATTTACATTAAAAGCATACTTCTTACTATTGCAAACAAAGTTCAGTATAAGGATCCCTAAAGCAGTTGGCATCTTTAGATATTAAATGATTCACTTTCCAAAAATACTTTGCAGACAGCCTTTGAGGAAAACAATGGACTCTTAAAATAAGGCACCCATTTCCCTAGCAAGCAGACGCAGAGTGAATGAATGAATAAAAATAAATAAATAAGGCACATTTATGATTATAAAGTGAGAAAAACAGGAAAACTAATATTTGGATTTATTTTAGGTTCAAAAGTTCTGAGCTGATTCTTGAGACAGTCAATACTGTCCATATTTTATTCACTTATTTAAAACATGCAAATATAGTCTTTTTGCTCCCCTTAAATATGCTCAGAGGCCTAGAAACTTTGGGGGAAGAAACTATACGAAACTTTTCAAGTAGATTTTAGGCTGGGTGTGGTGGCTCAGGTCTGTAATTCCAGCACTTCGGGAGGCCAAGGTGGGTGGATCACTTGAGGTCAGGAGTTTGAGACCAGCCTGGCCAATATGGTGAAATCCCATCTCTACTAAAAATACAAAAATTAGCAGAGTGTGGTGGCATAGCCCTGTAGCCCCAGCTACTCGGGAAGCTGAGGGAAGTGAATCACTTGAACCCGGGAGACAGAAGTTGCAGTGAGCCAAGATCTTGCGATTGCACTCCAGCCTGGGTGACAAAGCATGACTCTGTTTCAAAAATAAATAAATAGATTTTATTAATAGAAGTAATATCCTTGTTATATCCTTATTTTGGATTAGTCTGTTCTTTGCATAGACTTAGATGTTTTGAAATAATATTGCATTGTTCCAACAATCTGGCAGGCATGGACTTTTTTTTTCTTTTCTTTTCTTTGAGACAGAGTCTCCCTCTGTTACCCAGGTTGGAGTGCAGTAGCATGATCTCAGCTCATGAAACCTCCACCTCCTGGGTTCAAATGTTTCTCCTGCCTCAGTCTTCTGAGTAGCTAGGATTACAGGGCTGTGCCACTGTGCCTCACTAATTTTTGTATTTTTAGTAGAGATGGGGTTTTACCATGTTGGCCAGGCTGGTCTTGAACTCCTGGCCTCAAGTGATCCACCCACCTTGGCCTCCCAAAGTGCTGGAATTACAGGCATGAGCCACCATGCCCACCTTGGGCATGGACTTTTTAGACAAGGGGGTATTTATGGCCAGCTGAGGCAAAGCAGTCACTGCTCTGAGTCTCTAGGTTTCATCTTAGATGTAGAGACAATGGCAGACTCTTTTCTCTTCTGGCTTGATATTAAAAATGTGGAGCAGATTTCAATTTCCATTTGGTAGTCCTCTGTTGAACAGTTTAGCATTTGTGATATGTGGTGGTTGGAATAACCTTCCTCTCCATGACACTTTTTAAACAGCTTGGTATATTGGGTTTAATTTTTGCTGTTGAATTATTACAAAGGGAACATGTAAGGGTTTGAATGCTTTTGGATGTCTTCAGGTAATGAGCCAGTGGAGTTTGGAGTGGATGCACTGTGGTTGAGTGAAGGTGATAGAATTCTGACACATTATGTACAACAGATTATTTTCAACCTTCTCCTTCACCAGGCTATAACTGGAACCACTAATAAGCAAGGTTCTTAGAAGATCATCAAAGTGTTAAATGGCTTAAAGGAAGCAGGAGTGTGGTATTTCCGTGCCCCAGTGGTATATATGTGGGTGGTGATTGTACCCAATTGCTACCCATCCCCCACCTGGAAAAGTCAGGCTTACTCTTTCTCCTTTCATTCAACACACAGTTAAAAATAAATTTAAATGGCCACTGTCAGCATGGTGGCTCACGCCTGTAATCCCAGCACTTTGGAAGGCCAAGGCGGGCAGATCACTTGAGGTCAGGAGTTCAAGACCAGCCTGGCAAACATGGTGAAATCCCATCTCTACTAAAAATACAAAAATTAGCCGTGATGGTGGCACGTACCTGTAATCCCAACTACTCAGGAGGCTGAGGCAGGAGAGTCGCTTGAACCCACGAGGTGGAGGTTGCAGTGAGCCAGGATGGTGCCACTGCACTCCAGCCTGGGTGACACAGCAAAATTCCACCTAAATAAATAAATAATAAAATAAATTTAAGTGGCCAGGTGTGGTCTGGCCAGGCTCATGCCTGTAGTCCCAGCACTTTGGGAGGCTGAGGCAGGTGGATCCCTTGAGTCCAGGAGTTCAAGACCAGCCTGGGCAATATGGTAAAATCCTATCTCTACAGAAAAATTAAAAACTTAGCCAGGCATAGTGGTATGCACCTATAGTCCCACTTACTCAAGGGCTGACATGGGAGGATCACTGGAGCCCAGGTGGTCAAGGCTGCAGTGAGCCATGAGTGCACCACCAAACTCAGCCTGGGCAACAGAGTGAGACCCTGTCTAATAAATAAATAAATAAATAATTTAAGCCACAGAAAATACCAGATGACACACATTCCATTCACTCAGAAATTATTTATTGAGGGTCTAGAATGTGCTAGGCCATTGGAACATAACTATGAATAAGACAGGCATTAACCAGGCAAGGTGGCTCATGCCTAAAATCCTAGCACTTTGGGAGGCCAAGGTGGGTGGATCACAAGGTCAGGAGTTTGAGACCAGCCTGGCCAATATGGTGAAACCCTGTCTCTACTAAAAATACAAAAATTAGCTGGCATGGTGGCAGGCAACTGTAGTCCCAGCTACTTGGGAGGCTGAGGCAGGAGAATCGCTTGAACC